TTTCCCAGTTTAGCACTAAGTTCTTTTCTTCACATCTTTGCAGTACAAGAGTCAACCGATTCAAGCAGTCATCAAATGAATCTTCAAACGCAGAAAAATCATCCATGAATACCTCGATATATTTTTCCACCATGTCAGAGAATATGGCCATCATGCACCGTTGAAAGGTTGCGGGTGCATTGCATAATCCAAAAGGCATCCTTCTAAACTCAAAAGTTCCATAGGGACATGTGAAAGTTGTTTTCTCCTGGTCTTCTGGAGCAATAACTATTTGATTATACCCAGAATATCCGTCCAGAAAGCAGTAATGAGAATGACCGGCCAACCTCTCCAACATTTGATCAATGAATGGCAATGGAAAATGATCTTTTCTGGTTGCATTATTTAGCTTTCTATAATCTATACATACTCTCCACCCTGTTACTAATCGTATTGGTATCAGCTCGTTATTGTCGTTCTTCTCCACTGTGATTCCACCTTTTTTTGGCACAACATGCACTGGACTCACCCATGAACTATCAGAGATTGGATAGATAATACCTGCATCCAACAATTTCAGCACTTCTTTTCGCACTACTTCTTTCAAAGTTGGATTTAATCTACGTTGTCCTTCCACTGATGGCTTTGACCCATCCTCCATTAAAATCTTGTGCATACAAAGAGTTGGACTTATTCCTCTGATGTCAGCTATTGTCCATCCAATTGTCGTTTTGTGCTGCTTGAGTACCTCCAACAATTTATTCTCCTCTTCTATTGTCATGTCATTTGCAATAATTACTGGAAGTGTTGTAGATTCTCCCAAATATGCATAACGGAGATGTGAAGGTAAGGGCTTTAGTTCAAGAGTGGGTGCCTTTTCTACTGAAGGTACTGGGGGTGAAGGATTGTCACCAAGAGATTCATACTGCCAATGTCTTCTTCCTATTGGTTGCTTCGCTAAATTGACAATACATTCAGTTTTTTCTGCACTTGCTGCTCCAGATTGTGTAATTTCTGCTTCACAAAGAACTGTTTGATGCTCTGTCTCAAATGTATCTGCCACCAACTTTTCAAGAACGTCTACTTGGCAGCAGGTGTCTGAAGTCAGTGGATGTTTCATCGCCTTAAACATGTTGAATATGACTTGCTCATTGTCCACCCGAAGAATCATCTTTCCATCATAAACATCAATCAGCGCTCTTCCGGTAGCCAAGAAGGGTCTTCCTAAGATTAGAGGGATGTTTGAATCTTCATCCATGTCCAAAATGATGAAATCAGCCGGAAAAATAAATTTATCAACTTTGACTAGCACATCTTCAATAATCCCCTT